TTTCATTAATTAATACTCATTGAATAGAATTAAAATAATGATAATAAGATGACAGTAACAATTACAATAATAATAGCAATAACAATAGCTATAATAAGGATAAACGAATGTTATCCATCGCAAATAATAGCATTAAAAGAACTAACCGAGCAGTTCGATCCACTGCTCTTCATCTAAACGAAGAACGCTCACACTGATTCCGTGTCCATCTAAGGACGTCATCAAAGTGCCGTAATAGAAACGTGCAATTGTATAATCATTCGAACCTGTAAGAGATGAATGAACAACCTATCTGTCATCATAACAATGAATGTAATATCAATACATGTTATGAATTTTTATTATCGAACAGGAAATAAGCACGGATTCTTTTATTCAGTCATCCAGCAGTATTTTTCATTACCTATTCACGGAATGCAATCAGATATCTAATTGAGCAATTCGAGTGAGTAGCGAAGATTCAGTGAATGGCGAGCGAGCGATTTTTATTGATATAGTTGAAATTTATTTGCACTCATTGGATTTCGATCGTTTTGTATCACTGCTGATCTAATTAACAATTGATCATTTCCATAATACATGATCTGAACCGAACTTCAGCACACCTTCGGTCTTTACGGTATGTTAAGCATACCTTCACCAGTTTACTCAAGCTTCAGATAAGGCCTCGCTCGAGCTTGGGCTGATGACTGGCATGATGACTGAGTTGACCGATGCAAATTACTTAGGCAGGTTGGCAATGGTGCCGAAGGCACAGTATGGATCGGTTGATTGCAATTTCGAAAGGTGAGTAAATTTGCGATTGAAATAAGAGCATAACTTACATAACCAATTAATGATTTCACCAGCCATGATATTCATTTCAATTTGTGACGTTCCACCGAGATTATTCAATATGACAGCTACTTTTTTACCTTCAAATTGCTCACAACTGAATCAGTTATTTAAATCCAAATAATTGTTGCTGTTTCAAGAATAACCTAATATCAGTTTATTGAATCATCAAATATTTGTCATTATTCAATATTCCAATGAAGAATACCTTTTTGTAAGCAATTTTTACTACTTTTTGCCAACTTTTCCATGAGTATTTCAGCAATTTGTTTTGCGCTTTTCATTTCAGTTCTTTCACATCCCCGTTCACCATGTATGCCCAATCCCAATTCCATTTCCTTGTCATCTAACTTGAACATCGCCCCTTTACCAGGTATACTGCATGCCGATAGACTTATTCCGATGGTGCCTTTAAAGTATATTAATTATCAGCGTTACTCTTGCCACTAGCTGTGTTCTCTACAATATAATTTGCAAATACCGATTCTTTCGTTGATTCTCGTTGATATCTCCGCTATTGTATCTGCATTCGTACCTTGCTCTGCCATCGCCCCAGCAATCTATAAAT